CACCATCGCAGGAACTCACTCAACCCGCCGGAACTCAACCCGCCGGAGCTCGCGTTTCTTCCGCTTCCGTCGGGACTCTGCGGAGCGGGCCGGAATGAACATCACTTCCGCCCCCACTGAGCGGCGTCCTAAGCCGATTCCAGTGAGGCCTTAGAGCGCAGCTGCCTGCAGGCGTGGAGGAGGCCCCTGTTGTCCTTGTGGGGAGCTCGGCGCCCTCGGACGCCCGTGATCATGTGGAGGCTGCTGGGTCGCGCTAGTGCGCCGCTCCTGCGGGTGCCCTTGTCAGGTCAGAAGTCCCCTTTGGTTCTTAAAGACTATCCCTTTTCCTCCCCCACCCTCCGGTGCTTTTCCTCCCTAACCCAAAAGCGGCTCTGCATATGTTGGATGAAGCACTGGTTAGGGACTGCGCTATCCCGCCGCGGACCTCCACTGTAGGGGTTCGTGCAAGAGGGTCACAGCTGCGTCTGGGACTCGGCGCCCAGAGACCCCGGCTGGCCTTTTGCGGGGCCTGAGCCTCTGAGTGCATTTAGTGGAACCCGCATTCCACACCTCAAGACTCCTCCGGCAGAAGTATCTTTGGGCCGGCGGGGCGGCTGACGCCTGTAATCCCAGCACTTTGGGAGGCCGAGGCAGGCGGATCGCTTGAGGTCAGGAGTTTGAAACCAGCCTGGACAACATGGTGAAACCCCGTCTTTACTCAAAATACAGAAAAAATTAGCCGGGCGTGGTGGCGGGTGCCTGTAATCCCAGCTACTCCGGAGGCTGAGGCAGGAGAATCTCTTGAACCCGTTAGTGGAGGTTGCAGTGAGCCGAGATCGCGCCGCTGCACTCCAGCTTGGGCGACAGAGCAAGACTCCTTCTCAAAAAAAAAAAAAAAAAGTACCTTTGGCCCAGATTGTACCGGGGCTCCGGCCTTGTCACCTGCGTCGTTTAACTTCATTTGTCTCTGTAGATTCTTGGGCACCCCTCCCCGCCAGTGCTGGCCTAAAGACACTACTCCCAGTACCAAGTTTTGAAGGTGAGAACTTGTCTTTCTCCTGTTTATAAGTCTTTTCTCTGATGGAAACCAGCAGAGGGTGTGAGATGAGATAGGAGTGTTCTTGTGTTTCCTATCCCCGTTCACTCTTTCAATAAATATGTTTTTAGAACCTATTATCTTGCCAACCAGTATTCTGAGCACTAGAAATAAAGAACAAAGGAAACCAAAAACTTTCCCTGCTCTTATGGAGCAGTGTCTAATGAGATAGCTTCCCTAACACCTCCCAATGGTGTGTGTCCCGTGGTCCACTCAGCCAGTAGTAATAGGCCTGAAATCTGGATTTTTTTGGTGGCTCAAGCCTGTAATCCCAACACTTTAGGAAGAGGAAGTGGGCAGATCACCTAAGGCCAGGAATTTAAGACCAGCCTGCCAACAAAGTGACACCCGTCTCTACTAAAAATACAAAAAATTAGCTGGGCGTGGTAGTGCACGCCTGTAATCCCAGCTACTCAGAAGGCCACTGCACTCCAGCCTGGGCAACAGAGTGAGACTCTGTCTTAAAGGAAAAAAAAATCTGGACTTTTCATGTTCTCTCCAAATAAGGTTACATATATGCATATATACAATATGTAAAAAGCTTTGTTAAATTTAAGGTAAGGCACAATATTGTAAAACTAGTTTTTTAAAAAATATATACTGGAACCCTCAAAAAATGAATAGGGTCTGTACATCTGAGGGTCTTCCATACAGAATTATTAAACCACCATATGTTCTGAAAGTACATTTTGATTTATAGTTGAAAGAAAGCAGTACTAAGTTTCTCTGTAGCTGCATAGAGAAGCTGGGGGGGCAGCTTCTGAAACTCTTGATAGTAATAATTTGACAATTTCCTCAAAGTCTCCTGTTTTATATTTGTCTCCATTATAAAGCCATACTTGGTTCACTTTAGAAATTTTTTTAAATGACATACATGTTAATTTTTCCCCAAATTGTCAAATAAGGATGATAAAGAAGATGTCACGTCTGGCCTAAAGTTGTGCCCACCCACCCAAACCTGGCATACTGTTGCACAGTGAGTACCTGTGCAGGCCTCAGCATGAAAAGTCCCTGCATATATGAGAGAAGGAGCATTGATCAAAGGATTCCTAGGTGGTTTCTCAACAATAATGTGGCAGACCTGGAGAACTTAGATATTTTGATGTACAATATAGTACAGTATAGTATTCTTCCACTACCCCCATTAACATCCAGACAGTGAAATATATATGTATATATTTTTCTGACATGCTGTGTAGCTTTGCTGTTTAACTGGATGGCATAGACCAAAAATAAAATGTTTCTAGGCCTCAGGTTTTTCTATAAAATGGAGATTAAATATACTACCTGCCTAACGTCCTGTTTCTTGATCTGGGTATTAATGATATGTGTTCATGTGTTCACTTGCAAGTAATTCACTGAGCTGCATATTTTTAATTTGTCCCTTTGATGTATGTGTTAAACTCTGACAGGTTTAAAATTTTTAAAAAGGAAGCCCTGAAAGAATACCAAAGCTATAAAGTTGTTCTGAAAATTAAATGAACTAGTGATTTCCAAACAATTGCTGTTATAGCGTTAAGTACAGAGTTGGTGATTAATAAATGCGTTTGGATTCAGAAGTTAAAACTTTGCTATCTTTAAAGTGTTAGAAACATTTGCATTAGCCCTAGTCATAGCCGGAAGATTCCAGTGTCACTAAAAGCATCTGCAAAAATGTAATATACCTTTGGAATTATTGTTCAGTGGTAACTTTAAGACTTTCAGGCTGGATATGGCGGCTCACACTTGTAATCCCAACACTTTGGGAATTAAAGGCAAGAAAATCACTTGAGGCCAGGAGTTTGAAACCAACCTGGGCAACATAGTGAGTCCCTGCCTCTATCAAAAAATGAAGAAGAAAGAAATTAAGACTTTCATCTGTTGTAAATCTTTCTAGGGAGAAAATCTTTTGAGATGTGTAGCTTTACTTTATCCAGGTTGTCTATGCTCCTTTTAGATGTTTCCATTCCTGAAAAACCCAAGCTTAGATTTGTTGAAAGGGTACCACTTGTGCCAAAAGTAAAAAAAGAACCTAGAAATTTGAGTGACATACGGGGACCTTCCACTGAAGCTACGGAGTTCACAGAAGGCAATTTTGCAATCTTGGTGAGTGAATTCAGCATCAAGCAGCTTTGGAATAGAAGCTAGGGAGTAACAGAATCTCATACTTCTTATTCTAGTCTCTTCCTGTACAGTTGTTTTAGAATGGCCACAGTTGCTCTCTAAGCTGATGTGTACAGAGGCTTCTGGGTACCCAGTAAACATTTGGGTTATACCTTTTTTTTTTTTAATGTAGAGTGAAAATAATGTAAAAGCAGGAAAAGGAAGGAGCTACCTAATTTGCCCCATAATCAGATCATGAGATCTTTTCAAGCCCTGGAAAAAATAAAACTATCCACAATTTAGGATGTGGAAAATAGCTGTTTCCTTACTTGTTGAAGTATCTCTGCGAAGATGCAGAAAGATCAAGCTTCCATGAAGACTTGATGTCAGCAGCTACACAAATGGGTGTGCCCTAGGATTTATTTTCCACAGGCAGCCAGAGTGATATTCTAAAGTCCTCTTCCTGCAGTGTACATGATAACCCCGACTGACCTCTCAGAACCTCCTGCCCACTCTCCCCATTCCTCACTCTACTTCAGCCCCATTGGCTTCTGTTCACGTCACCAAGCCCACTGTTGTGCCAGGGCCTACACAGAAGCCTTTCTTATGCCTGGCACACTCCTCTGTTTTCCCTTGACTGGTTGTTCTTTTTATTCTGGCCTTAGCTTTAGATGTCACGTCTTCAAAGAAGCCTTCCCTGCCTCTCCACTGAAGTGGGTCCCCCCTCACTCTGTTTATTACTATGCACCCGACGGTTTTCCTCCGTGGGACTTATTATACCTTAAATTTGTATTTTCAATTGTATCATTGAAGCCATAGTTATTACAAGAGACATAATAGTAGAGCCCATGGAAGATATCGAAGTAACATGTGTTTGTAATTCTCCCATTCACTTTTAGGCATTGGGTGGTGGCTACCTCCACTGGGGCCACTTTGAAATGATGCGCCTGACAATCAACCGCTCTATGGACCCCAAGAACATGTTTGCCATATGGCGAGTACCAGCCCCTTTCAAGCCCATCACTCGCAAAGGTGTTGGGCACCGCATGGGGGGAGGCAAAGGTGCCATTGACCACTACGTGACACCTGTAAAGGCTGGCCGCCTTGTAGTAGAGATGGGTGGGCGTTGTGAATTCGAAGAAGTGCGAGGTTTCCTTGACCAGGTGGCCCACAAGTTGCCCTTTGCAGCAAAGGCTGTGAGCCGTGAGACTCTAGCGAAGATGCGGAAAGATCAAGAAGAAAGAGAACGTAACAACCAGAACCCCTGGACATTTGAGCGAATAGCCACTGCCAACATGCTGGGCATTCGGAAAGTACTGAGCCCGTATGACTTGACTCAGAAGGGGAAATACTGGGGCAAGTTCTACATGCCCGAACGTGTGTAGTGACTGTAGGAGATAACTGTACATAGGCTATTGAAAGAAAGATTCTGCATTTTTCTTCCCCTCAGCCTACCCACTTAAGTCTGTGGGTAGCTCTTAAGTCATAACTAAGGAGCAGCATATGAGTAGATGATTTCTGAAAAACATTGACGTGTTGATTTAAAATGAAAACTGTATTATATTTTCATTAAATAAAATTTGAACATCAGGATATAAATTCTCATTGGTCATTCTTAATCCCTTAGAAGATTTTAAAATAGGCCTGAATGACTGTGAAGTGCTCTTGGTTCTCCTGGGATATAAGATGAACATGAAGGCTGAAACATTTGCATTCCACCATCTATGATGCGAGTTTGACTTTACTGCCTTTTAAATGTACACACTTCAGGAGCCAGTTTCTGTGATATTTTACTAGGTAAAAACACATTTTTAGTGTAAGAAAAAAAACAACAGTACATAGGTCAATTGATTCAACATTTATTGATGCCCAGCTACCCATCTTCTCTCAATCTTGGAATGGGAATGTTGGACAATATGCAAGGAACATACCCTTTGCCTTTTAGCAAAGGAACCAATAGCAAAAGTTAAAACTGTGTGGCCTTTTCTAGGTCTGAAATTCTCCAAAGAGGGAGGGTATTTGGCTCTATTTTTGTTCCCCCTGCAGAATCCAGTACAGTGCTACGTGCCATGCAACATGTAAATTCTTAACTGCTAGTGAATGAGGGCCCCCTAGGACTCATCCCCACAGCTCCATCTCCCTGTTTGCCCAGATTAATGTTTTCCAGAGCTAGCCAGCTGCAGTCTTCTATCCCCTATTCAAACTAAAGGAAGCACAAATTAATATATATATTAAACCGTTGGCTTTTGAAGGTGGGTAGAATACAGCATTGACCAAAATATTTTTTAATCTCACTTTTTTAAAAAATAAAGTATCAAAGTAATAATTTACTTTCAGAAGTACAAACGTAGCAGTTGTGTGCTCCTCACAGTTGTATACTGTGATTTTTTAAATGAATTTTTAGTGAAATTCTTGTGACTAAATCACAAAAAGTTATCTGCACTAGAACACATTCACATAGCTCTTTTTAAAGCTGAACACAACTGAACCTTGAATGGAGCTGGGGACAGTATTTAGAACAGCTATTTTTGGTTTTGTTTTTTATTTTGAGATGGAATTTTGCTCTTGTTGCCCAGGCTGGAGTGCAGTAGTAGCATGATCTCGGCTCACTGTTAACCTCCAGCTCCTGCATTCAAGCAATTCTGCCTCAACCTCCCAAGTAGCATGAGTCACTTGCCTGGCTAATTTTGTATTTTTAGTAGAGATGGGGTTTCACTATGTTGGTCAGGCTGGTCTCAAACTCCTTAGCTCAGGTGATCCACCTTCCTCGGCCTCCCACGATGCTGGGATTACAGGCGTGAGCCACTGCACCCAGCCTATAACAGTTTCTTACACTTCTGTTACTGGCCAGCAGTTTCAGCTAGCGACACAAATCAGGTGAGAGGTGAAGTGAGTGATCACCTCATTTTACCTTTCTCACCTGACACCTTTATCTGTTCTTTGTTATGGTTCACAGAGTGTGCCACCAATGGGAGAGGTCAGTCATACTATAAACCTGTTTCTCCTGGGGCCAGCCATATTCTCCACAGATTAAGAGGCTGTTGATAGAAGTCCACCATCACCACCCATAGAAAAAGCACTTTAAAGTTGATGTTGTGGTAATGGGGGGGAAGGGCTAGTAGCATTTTTGCATAAATAGATCAGCCCATTCCCAAGCAGCTTTACACAGCCTCTGATAATAACAAACCATGTTCTCACTGGTACCCTAAAGAGTTTAGGAGTCAAACCCAAGGATTTGTCCATGACTGACATAACAGCTTAATTATAAGTCAGCAGATATTTGAGTACCTGTAAGCAGCAGGCACTGTGCTAAAAAGTGGGGACACAACAGTGAGCAAGATAGGCATGTGCCTATCCTTAGATAAACTTCACTTTTAATACTACTACTGGAGCCTGGAAGAGGAAACAGATGTAAGCTGGTCAAAGGTGAGACCTAGAAGAGCAGAAGTGCCCTGACTTGACCAACTCAACAGCAGTTCAAGTAAGAACCTGTTGAGTTAGGTGCACTATGATATCTGCCCCTTCACAGCCGTGCTGCACGTGCAGGCTCTAAGTTTCACGTCCTAAAGCCCCCACTCTGCTTTCTTCTCTACCCTGCAGTCCTCCTTTAAGCCATCTGCCTAATCAGCTATGTATCTACTCCCTGTCTCTGTCCTCCACCCAATCTGTATTACGTTTGTTCTTCTTTGCATAATTCTTAATAAGTAGTTGATTGATGCCCTGTTTCCTAAGAAGTTTCATAATGGAAAGAGGAGAAGCTGATGAGGAGTCTGTGTGGAGAAGTGATGGTACCACAGAAGTGGAAGGAGGATTACAAATGCCAGTCGACCAATCTGTGAGGGCTGTGGGAGATAACAGAAAAATGAAGGGAAAAAAAATCATAGATTATATAGCATGGTGTTTGTGGCTGGGATCACCAAATCCCTCTTACGCAGGGTTAAGGGACTATACACAAGGCTGTGTTAACTTTCATTAACCTTGAAAGGGAAGAAACTTAATTCGAGTTTACTGTGTGGCCGGCCCCCTTCCAAAAAGTTCAAGATGCATCTAATGCAAGAACTACTTGTTCCTTTTGCACTTCCAGATACCAAGGCTCAAACTATTTAGCAGGAGTCAATATCCTTGACCAGTACAAAGCATTCTGCCACACCTGGTTACAGGACAGATCGCCACCTTCTGTCTTCCCCCTCTCCTCCCACAGACTACCTGCTAACCGATCATTCTTCGTTCCCTTTTGTCTCTGAAACACTCCTTTCCTTAGTTTTCTCTAACCTTTATTAGCACCTAATCCCACCCAGATTAAGGCACCTAAAGTGCCCCCAGGACACAAAGGTTTCAAGTAAGTAAAAGAAGGCCTGACCCTCCCCACAGATGGCTCACCTTTTTCAGGCAAATATGCTCCCAATGGTGGAAGCTAAGATGATCGCAAGGATAATACAGCAGATCATGATCATGATCTTCTTCTGCTCATCCAGATAAGGAAAGAAAGAACACATGAGAAACCACCGCAAAAGCGTTCTGCAGGAAGGGAGACAATTGCATGTGGGCACGGAAGAGGGTATGAAGGAAGAGAGCAACAGATGGACAAAGGAGATGGATCTGGCTTCTAGAACCCAGAATGTTCATAGAAATGTTATTTCTGGTGACAAGTACAAAAATTAGAGTCCCAGAGGATGTTTGGTATGGTCATTCTGCCTTCTAGATAACATCATGACAGATCTCCCCCATTTCCTCCTACAGCCAGATACTCTCAAGGACTGAACCAAATTCTTTTGGGGGGAACACCTCAAATCTGAAACACAAACAGAGTGACACTGTATTCTCTGGGAGTTAAACCATGTTCAAAAATTGAACTTTTGAACCATGGCTTAAAAAGATTTGAACTGCATTCTAAAACCTGAATAAAAATCACCACATGGTGGCACCAAATCACTAAGTGTTTCTACACAGAGATAGAGCCAGAAAACTGTTTCACAATCAATATAAAGTCATTTTTATTTTTAAATTAGCAATAAAATAATCAAATTTACATTTAAAAAGTATAAACAACAACAACAAAAAAAACCCTTCACATGTTGTATTCCAAACTGTAAGCCCCAAGCCTCCATGTCAGAGGGGAGCAAAGGCCTTTGGTGATCTTGTCTCTTGTTGCTAGAACCCATGCACTGTCTGACATCATAGCCGTGGGCAAGAGAATATCCCCTTGGCTCTGTCTGAGTGCTGGATTGTGACCGGCAGTAAGTAGCCTTCGCAAAGGAAGCTAATGGATAATGCCTCAATTAAGGGTGCTCACCCCATCCTAGAAAGCATTAAAGTCAAAGCTGAAAATATACATGGTACCCCAAATCAAGGAGACTACCAGAGACCAGCGGGGGATCTAAGGGATTTTACCACTGGGTTAGCACAGACTTGTGCTACACTTGAAGATTTCCTGGTGGCTGCTGCTGCGTACATAATAAGTATTGGATGAGACAAAGAACCTGCCAAGCTCATTAACCCAGTAGCAAGAAGAGGTCCTGTGTAGCCTCCAGTGTTCCCCAACTGACTCAGCCCTGCAGATGGGACATCTTGTAGGCCACATAAATATCAAATTACTGAGGGACATTCTCAGGACAAGCCTAGCACAGGCAGCATGTGGGGAAAGTTGTCAAAAAATTATACTTTCTGTCTGCTAAGCAGAAAAACTTAATTGGGATCAGTTTAGCGCACTCCAGAGTTCTCATTTTATTCTCCCAGTACTCATCCAGAAAACAAGTTTCTTGATGATATGGGAAGATCACATTTCCATAGTGATTCATTTGCAGGTAAGCAAATGTCCTTCACCCAATTTTTATCCTAGCTCAAAACTGGCTTTTTTTTTTTTTTTGAGGTCATAGTATCTTCCATTTTTATTTCCTACTTCCTGAGAGACACACACATGTGTACAAACATCTCATACACAATTAGAATACATCTGGAACACATGAGTGAATACACCAGTGTCATGAAATATTTCCAGAGCTTAAGATTCTAGCACCTTGTCCCTTACCCAGTTTAAAATCCCTGATTATTTTTGGCCCCAAGGCAATAGCTTCACAAAGCATCACAGCGATTTCTAAGACTCAGACATGGAAACAAATATTCCATACCCTCAGCCTTTTGCAAAGCATAACCTCAGATGACTGTGTCATCCAGATCCCTCAAGTGAATATGAGAGACTACAACATATAGAAAAATCAAAGTTGCCCTCCAAGCTGAACAACTAAGGGCTTAATTTAAGGCTGAATTTCAAACAAGTCAACTCTTCAGACCAAATGACATCTGCCAGTCCCTCATGTTTTCAGGACACAGGGACAAAAAACAGGATTGGCATCCTGCCAGGTAGAAGACTCAGATGCAAGCCTTATTGTTGCCAAACTTAGAAGAATCCTTCTGCTTTGTTGAAGATACTCCCCTAAAAAAAATACATTGCAGTTTCTGGGAGAATACTCCATGAGGTAGAAAAATACAGCACTTTGGGAGAATCTCCCAGGGGCTTTCCCAGGTGCAAGGCAAAATCTGACACAGGACAGGGAGGAAGGAAGCAGGGTGGGTTCACACAGTCCAGGAGAAAAGGTACTTGAGAGCCGGTGGGGCAGGAGGAGGCTCTGAGGAGAGCTCAGGGTCGCATCAGGTAGATCGCATTCCCCCAGGGCTAGACTGTTAGCTGAGTGTCAGGTCCAAGGGTGGTCACAAGGAAACAAAGGAACGGGTAGCACTCGCTCTCAGGAAGGCCATTCAGACTCCATTCTCATCTGAAGACAAGGGTGGCCACACCAGGCTGGAGTGAAATCAGTTTCTAGGAGGCAGGGAAAGGAGGAACTGATCAGTACACAGGAATAAGGCAAAGGGCAACAGAAGTCATCCACAAACCGAGAAGGTGGGGAGGAAAGCCCAGAACTCACTATGAAATAGACAAACCCAAGACAGATCCTGGAGTTAAATATCCCACTGTACAAAGAACACAAAGCCCTACTGTGAGAGGGGGAAAAAAATAGAAAAGCCTCTAGGCCTTTTATAAGCCTTCTCACAGGCTGTCCACACCCATGGAAGGATGTGGTGGGAAGGAACAATCCCTAGTGAAAACACCTGCTCTGCAGGGCCCACAACAGCACTCTCCTGAAGACAGGCTGCGGGAGCTGCTTTCTGGTTCTCAATCTTCATGAACTCCCTGCTGCCTTTCTTTTAGAAAGCAAAAGGGCACAATGCAAAGCATATGGAAAAAGTTCAGGAGTCATATTATGGCTGCTCCACCTTATGAGCGATGTAGTCTTGGGCAAGTTCCTTAACTTCATTGCTCTTTCCCCATCTGTAAAATGAGGATACTATGATCCTAGACCAAGCAGCTGGTACAGTACTAGGAAATATAAACACATTGTCTTCCTTCCATCCTGTTCAGAGACCTCTCTCCCTTGGGTGACATGGAGGAAGAGGGGAGTCCAGACCAAGGCAACAATCAGTCTTGACTTTATTAGGGAACACGGAATAAACTACAATAAAAGCAGCTTAGCAGCTGCTCAGCAATTTAGCATGTTAAATATAGAGTTAGTCAACCAAAAACAACATATTAATTAGTCTGCTCCTCTTTGAGGAATTACATCCTCAAAAAATGATTCATACACATTCTAAAGTCCTGCAATTAGGAATGGAAAGGGGCCCCATGAATTTGCATATCATATTTCATCCAAGGATATGGGATAATAACAACTACTATATCTTTCTAAAATCTCAACATCTATTCCAATCAGATTGTTCAGAGCCAAAACAAAATTTAAACTTCACACAAAAAAGTCAAGTGCTAGTCTCCAAGTGCCAGAAAAAAGAGGGGGGAAAAAATATCAACCAATGACCTGTCTATGAGAGGCTGTTAATCTCACTGTTGCTTACTTTTCAAGATGAAGTTGAATATTCAATGCTATAATCAGCTGACTTTTAAACCCTCTGGTCACATGGAAGGAGGAGGGGTAAGAAAAGACACACTAAAACAAATATAAAAGGAAGGCACAGCTCTGGGTACTGCCATGGTATTATGTGCCAAGTCTTAAAAATGTTTATGCCTGTCCGGGCGCAGTGGCTCAAGCCTGTAATCCCAGCACTTTGGGAGGCCGAGGCGGGTGGATCACGAGGTCAAGAGATCGAGACCATCCTGGTCAACATGGTGAAACCCTGTCTCTACTAAAAATACAAAAAATTAGCTGGGCATGGTGGCGTGTGCCTGTAATCCCAGCTACTCAGGAGACTGAGGCAGGAGAATTGCCTGAACCCAGGAGGCGGAGGTTGCGGTGAGCCGAGATCGCGCCATTGCACTCCAGCCTGGGTAACAAGAGCGAAACTCCGTCTCAAAAAAAAAAAAAAAAAATGTTTATGCCTATTATCTCAGTAATCCAACTCATATGAGTTTGTAATAAAGAGAAACTTTAAGTGAAAAAAATATCAAATAAGATTAGTCACATTGTCAGCTATAGCAAAATAACATAAACCTCCAACATTGTCAAAATGTTAAATATTTGTGAGTATGGCTACAATCTCGTGTTGACAATTAGATTTACAAAAAGATTTTAATGCTGTGGAATGATGCTTATAATTTTGTAACTGGACACAAAACTATGGATAATATAATCTTAACTATGTAAAACTATGCCTGAATGTGTAAACATGCCACAAGGTTATCAGCAATAATATTAAAAGTTGACTACTTTTATTTTCTCTGTATTTTATGGGTCAGTTTTGTTAACAATACATGCTATATTTTATTCAGAAAAATATTTTAAAAGTCACTGGCTGGGCACAGTGGCTCATGCCTGTAATCCCAGCACTTTGGGAGGCTAAGGCAGGCAGATCACTTGAGTCCAGGAGTTCAAGATTAGCCTGGGTGACATGGCAAAACCCTGTCTCTACAAAAAATATAAAAGTTATCTTGGCATGTTGGTGTACACCTATACTCCCAGCTACTCAGGAGGCTGAGGCGGGAGGATCACCTGAGCCTGGGAGGCAGAGGTTGCAGTGAGCCAAGATCACGCCACTGCACTCCAGCCTGGGTGACAAACATAATGAGACACCGTCTCAAAAAAAAAAAAAAAATTTAAGTCACAAAAGTCTTCAATTGCATATGTGGAGTAAAAAAGAAAAAAATAATAATTAAAAAGTCACAAAAGTCTTAATAGTCCCAATAGCCAGACTCTTGATATGCTCACTACTATTAAATGTGATTCAGGCTGGGCACAGAGGCTCACACCTGTAATCCCAGCACTCCGGGAGGCTGAGATGGAAGGATCACCTGAGGTCAAGAGTTCAAGACCATCCTGGCCAATATGGCAAAACCTCACCTCTACCTACTATAAAAATGAGCCGAGTGCAGTGGCATGTGCCTGTAATCCCAGCTACTCAGGAGGCTGAGGCAGGAGAATCACTTGAACCAGGAAGACGGAAGTTGCAGTGAGCCTAAATCATGCCACTGCACTCCAGCCTGGGTGACAGAGCAAGACTGTCTCAAAAAAAGCCAGTGATTCAGTGATAGGTCTATAATTTTTAACAAGTTTTCAAAAAAAAAATAGTCTAAATTTTAACATCACTATCCTCTAAGGTTCTCCAGGCTTTATAGGTAATGATAATGGCTACCTTCTTTTACAAAGAGAAGCTAGGTCCCCTATTAGCTGTGTGAACTTGGCCCTGTTATTTAACTTCTCTTTGACTGAGTTTCTTTGTCTGCAAAATGTGCATCATACTGTATCTGTCTCCTAGGATGTCGTAAGGATTCAATGATACATGTATAATGTGTTCAGTGCATTGTCTGGTACAACGCAACACTCAAAAGTGTGTTAACTATCATCATTTAAGACCCAACCAATCAGCAACAAAAAAAACTCTGCAGACCCAAATTCCAATTCAGAGCTTCATTTACATTGAAAAGGATACAGAAAGTAAAACCCAACATCCGTGAAAATCAGTAAGAATTCAGAAGACAGACCCCAGATTCAAGATAGACCCCAGATCCAATGTACTCAACTTAGGAGCATGCTTCCTGAGTAAGGGGAGTTGAATGGGGTGCTCAGGTACGCTAGGAGAAGTGGTGAGAAATATGACAAGACAGAGATTGGGGACAGAATCTACAGGATAGGAACAAACAGAGACCTCACCCATGTCCTGCAGCCAGAAACCAAGAATAGAACTGTAAGGAGATAAAGAATCCACAGGCTACTGAAAAGTTTTAGAAAGCTCAGTGTGTCGAAGGACAATCATACTGGGAAAGAAGAATTTGAAATCCCAAGCTAATTTCCTCTTGAGGAGCCAAATCCAGAGTCCCCAAGAACCATTCGTTTACTTACATTTCAGTGCAGCAGCCTCTTAGGCCACTCTTATTTCAGCCCAACGGAAAGTCCAATAATCAATGCTAAAATGCCCAGCAACACAACTACTACCACAATGATAATTATCAATTTCTGGAGAGAGGAATAAGACAAAAACAAATGATTACAAACAACCAAAAAACAAAACAACTCATCCAAAACCCAACCCCTGTCACCTCTACATAGAAAATATCTTACCAATCTGAATGAGAAGCCAACATCTCTACATACAGACATCCTTCTAGGATAGTTTATTTTTAAGACAGGGTTTTTCTCTATCACTCAGGCTAGAGTGCAGTGGCACGATCATGGCTCACCGCAGCCTCAACCTCCTGAGCTCAAGTGATCCTCCTGCCTCAGCCTCCTGAGTAGCTAGGACTACAGGCATGCACCACCATGCTCAGCTCATTGTTTTATTTTTGTAGCGACAGAGTCTTCCCATGTTGCCCAGGCTGGTCTCAAATTCCTGGGCTCAAGTAATCCTCTCACCTCGGCCTCCCAAAAGGGAGGCTAGGTATGGTGGTTTATACCTGTAATCACATCACAGGTATAAACAACCACACCCAGCCTAGGACATTTTACATTTTTTAAATTACTTACAGGCTACCAATGCCAGCAGAGGGAAATATGAGGCCGCTCTCAGTTCTCAGCTCTCAGCTCACACTGCAGTTCTACATATGTGGACAGATACAATCAGAACCACTATCACGGGGTCTCTAAGGAGCACTTGGCCAAGATAAAAAGTGGCTGACTGATTTTTCCCTTTTTAAGAGGGAATGTAAAGGCATTTTTGATAGAGTCCTCATTTCCTACTTTTGTCTGTTTTGTCCCCTAAAGTACACTTCTACCTGTCAGACCCAGTACACTGCCTGGATGAGAAAATATACCATCCATTCTGGATTCACCACGTCAAATAACTTCCCAGTCCCCTAATTCCCTGTATAAGCAATAGGTAAAGTTGGAAGAAAAGCAAAGAACAACAGTATCAGAGCCCAAGAGAACTAGTCAAAGGAGAAAAGTCTAAAAAGCAGGAGCCACCAGAGCTGGATATCCACAGTCATCAGCCCAGAAGCCTTGAAGTCCTTAAGCAGGAGGGGCACCAGAGGGTGGGCAAATGTGGTGGTGTGGTAGAAAGAGAATGCCTGGGATCTAAACTTGAATCCCAGTGCCTCTACTCACTAGGTGGCCTGAAGTCAATTACTGAACCCCTAACCCTCAACTGTCTCCTTTATAAAGTAGAAATAACAGGTACTCCATCAGCTATAAGATAATGTATACATAGCAGTTAGCATGGGCCAAGTACAAGGTAGAGAAAAAGAGAAGGGAGGCAGGTTTGGGAGCCTGGAGTGAAAGACAATGAAGAGGGTTTCTGAACAGAGGAGTCAAGCGTAACATCTGAAAGTCTCATGAGCTAAGTTCAGGAGATCAGCAGCAGCACCTGGGCCATGCATCCATCCTACAGAACTGCCTTTCAAATGTGGGTTCCTGGGGAGACAGCTTGTGAGCCAGATCCATGCAAGGCACACCTGAGAAGGAAGGGCAGCCAGCTGGTATCTAGGAAAGGCTGAGGGAGGGGTTGACGAGGCCACAACAGGGAGGGAGGCGTGGGCTCAAGGACACAGGTGGGGATGGCCAGGGAGAGGAGAAGCTGGTAAGACAGCTGAGACTAAGGTGCTCACCCTCCGGGCTTCACTCTGATACTTGACAGCCTTTTTGGTATCTGCCACGGCCCGCTCCACGAAGCCCACTGACTGGTCCATGTTGTTCTCAATACGGTCAATCATGGATCCCTTTCCCCAGATGCAAGAGGTGGCGGCAGCAGAAACAGAGATAGGGAGAGGGAAGAGAAAGAGCGAGACACAGCTAACCAAATGGACTCTCTTCTCTGAAGGCAACAGGAGAATCTCACCTTCCGGGCCTGACTCTGGTATTTCACAGCTTTTTTAGTTTCATCTCGTGCCTTCTCCACGTGGTCCACTGTGTGCATGACATTCAACTCTATGTTATCTAACATCTCACCCTGCAAAGAACAGACTCTGGTCACACACAGTAAATGCCCCAGGACAGTCCTAGCCAATGTGGGGAAGGGATTCTCTTTCTTCCCATCTTCAGCGGTAAGAGGAGAATCCAGAAACCTTGATGCAGGGCCTTCCACAGGACACCCATTCACATTTTCCGTGGGACTACCTGTGGCTCCTCAGTCCTTGGTGGTGGGTTGGGGTGGCGGTCACTTGTTCAAGAAGCATTCACTGAATTTTACTACTTCTCTGTGACCAGCACTCCACCAGGCATCCAGAACATACTGTCTAGATGCCTGGTAACTACATATAAATACACTCTGAGGCATCCCTGGACAACCTTTTTTATTTATTTTTCCCACTTAAGCACACGGAGAAGAACCAAAATAAGGAAATCTCATGTTCTTAGAACATCACCAGGATGCTGGCCTCTTCCTGGTCATTCAGACCTGAAGCAACATCATTCAGCCTGAGTTGAGTACATTCACTAACTGCAGAAGAGTGCCTGGCACACAGTAGGTGCTTAAGAAGTAGCTGAGGTGGGGAACATTTGCTTTCTCTAAGTTATGTCCAGGCCCTCTAAGTGACAGGCGTTGGGTTTACCCAGGCTATTTGGTTATATTTTCCCTTCCAGACAGTGGTCTCTTGATAAGATTCCCAACCATTTCCTAGCAATTACTTCCTGACAGGGAAGTTTAATCATTCCAATGAATCTTAGGCGTCTTAGGAATTCTCCTCAACTACCCAAACCCTCCTCAACCCTACTCTTTCACTTTATGGCAGTCTGTAAACAGAACAAGGCACTTACCATCACTTGAATCTCAAGCCAGTTCCTCGGCAAAGCAGTGTGGGGAAAAAGAAAAGGCGGGATGGAGGGACTTGAGAAATGGTCTCGGAGGCCAGTGGGGAATCCGGGAAACCACCCAGGCCCTCAGCAGGGAACCAACATCAAAAACCAGTCAAGCCGTGCTCGGGCTTCAACTAGGTTTTGCAGTCTGCCTACTATGGAAACAATTTTCTCTCCTATCCAGGTGTCAGAGCAGCTGGGAGTTCATGGCAACAGTGCACAGCACCATGACCCTGTGGCACACTTAACTGTCCCGTAGGAACTGGGAACCATCTGACTACATGAAACTAGCACCCTATGCAGGCAATCCAGAACTCTATCCCAAGCAAGCATGCCTGGGACAAAGTGAGCTGTCAAACTAAGCACGATGAGCGTTGTGAGTCTTTCTGTAAATGCTATTTTACTACTCCTTCATTCATGTTGTTGTCTGCTCTGTGCCTTAGTGAAAGGTGTCAAAATTTTTAGAAAAACACAAACAGGAAAAACAAAACAAAAACTTCTGTTAAACCTAAGCTTTCCCTGTGAACCAGAGAAAAGATCACATTTTCAATGTCATCAGTGAACTAGTCCATATGAGGAAACTGTTCTAAAGCATCACCATTAGGAACCCTCATCTCTGATTTTTACAAAAGAAAAGAAAGAAAAAAGACAAATCCTGGGATGACTGCTTGAGCCTGGGAGATCAAGCTGCAGTGAGCTGTGATCATGCCACTGCACTCTAGCCTGTGCAACAGAGCAATACCTCATCTTAAAAATAAAAATAAATTTAAAAATTTTTAAATCTGGGGGAACTAGGTAATTGACAGAACACATCAACCTCTATGTCAACTATCAACGACTGCAAGGCCAAAAGGACAGGCAAGAATGAAAAGGCCAAGATCACCCAAACTGTCAACATTTGAATGCACACTTTCCCATGGAATTCTGTTTCTCTTTTATGCAAATTCCCAATGGTTCTCCCACCCTACCTCACTGGCTTCCAGTATTCCCTTCCTCCCTGTTCTCCAGAGACCCTGAGCTTTCCTCTCCTCTCTCCCCACGCTGGGACTCACTGCCACTTACCTGATTCTCCACCAGCATGGCGATGTCCATAAACATGTCGTGAAGCTCTTTGATGCTGCTCTCCAGCCTCACAATGTCCTTGTGCCGTCCCTCAATCTCACTGAGGGCTTGCTTGGAAATCTGTGAGTCAATGATCTATAACAGGCCACACACAGAGAGACTGTCAGCTACCCCTGCAAGAAAGGCTGCCCCTGTCACAGCCCTCACACACACTCCTGGGGAGCTCCTTGCCTCCCTGAACTCCCTGCACCTGCAGCACCCTCTCTGCCTGCTGGAGTGCATGAGCTCCACAGTGGCCTCCCTGCTCATGAGAGGGATGTAATATCCAAGCGCACAGGGCACTCACCCCAGAAGTGAAGATGGCTGGGTTGCCACTCTCCAGCATCTCCTCCAGCTCCTCATCTGTTGTCTTTTTGCCGGCTTTATAACAAAAGAAGTAGAGCATCAAATATAAGATCACAGTGAAACACCATTTGATAAGGTCCCTGAAAACTAGAAACGTGACTTCCCTATAAAGACCATGGCCTTTACAACACTCCCCCAATTGTCTCCTGACTCATCTTATTTCTCCCCTAATCCAAGCCATCCTTAAACATTATCAGCAGTTACCTTCCTAAAGCACATTATCTCATTACATTGCTTCCCAGCTCAGAGCATTTCTTTGCCCCATTCACTACACTATGGCGTCCAAGGCCCTCATAACATGCCAGTTCGTGGGTAAGCCCTCCCTCAATCCATCCTAACCTTAAGTTACTCCAGACACACCCTTTTCCCAGACCCTGGACAACATGCCACTCCGGAACACACTTGCTCTTTCTTGATTACATTCATACCATTCCTCTCACCCAAAGCACCTTCCACCCCAAAGGGCCCTGCCTTCCAAATTCCTAAAGGGTATGGCTTTATTTCTCTATTCCTCCCAGCAACTTACACCACACTTTTTATTTCTTAAATGTGCTTTGCTATCAAACAGACAGCAAAATGACACAATGAGTCCACAGGAGAGCAACTGTTTGGCAAGCAATTCCCTTCTGTATAGGAGAAGATGCTGGACCCCATACAATAAAACTACTTGGGCCTGATAAACACAGTGTCACCTTTCAGCCTACAGCACAGCATTCAGGATATGCCAGTGCGATAGGATCTGCCCTAGACTTAGGCACAAAGTATGCAGGCTGCTTGCTCTCCCAGGGCCTCAAAACTTGGGATGGACAACCAGGTGGCAGGAAAGGTGGAGGGCACACGCCAAACCTCAAGCACATACTAATTTCGAGCTGCCGCTGGATTCGCCCTTTGCTGCGTTCTCGGAAGTCCACCTGAGCTTCATTGTATTTGGTCATCACCTCCACAAACTTCCGAGAAAGGACAGAGTGCTGTGGGACGATGTAAAATGCAGTCAGCCCCCAGTGGTTCTGTAACTGTTATGGAACCCCTCCCCATCCCCACATAGCCGTCTACAGTAGCACTGGACTTGCAATCGACCAGGTATCAACCCAAGGTTTTTGTTTCCTAGCTTTACGCCCCTGGAAGAGTCCGCTGCCCTTTCCAAAGCATGGTTTCAGCACCAGTTTACTGAAACCGGTTTACTGCTGACCTCACAAGGTAATTGTGAGGCCAGCAGTCATCTCTAAATCTCTAAGCTCTACAGCCACATGGACTAGTAGCATTTTTGTGGCACAACGCTTGCATTCTAAAACTGTCAGATCCCCTTCCCACATGTCATACTTACCAAAGATCCTTGAGTTCTTATCCTAAACTCATCTCCCCAACTTCTCTTGCTTCTAAGCAGATGTTCTCTCAATAGCCCTGGATGCCTAAGCTAAAGCCTTCCTAAGAATTTGTATTCCTCGCTCACCTCTCAGCATCAAGCCCTACTTACTGGTTTTTCCTTTGGAAAATCACCAATATTTATACTTTTCCAAACCCACTTCCACCATGCAAATTTAGACCAATACCATTGCAAAAACCTAACTAGGGACCTTCCAGTCCCCTGCCTCCTTCCCACTTGTAAACAGTTTCTAAATGGCTACCATAATAATCCTCCTAACATACTGCTGCCTGAAGCAAATGCCTGTAAGTTACAACATCAGATCCAAATTCTCTAGACTGCTCCTCAAAGACCTCTAGAATGTGGCACTACATTATCTACTAAAAGTTATGTGCCCACTATCCCACAGCAAACCTTTTCCTTCAGAAAGCCTATTGTTTTCATGTCTGCCCCTTATGTCTACCCCCGACCACTACCAACCACCCCGACCACTACCAACCACTGCTGCCAACACACATACACATGTACACCCTACTCCTGCCCCTGTACCTCTCAGAGAGGGGAAACTGCTTCCTGCGACTGCTCACGTTGGCACTCTGGCCCAGCCTCCTCTAGCAACCCCCAATTCTTCCTGACATCTTTGGATGCTGAGAGCACCATGCATGTGTGGTTTTTTTTTTTTTTTTTTTTTTTTGAGATGCCATCTTGCGCTGTCACTCAGGCTGGAGTGCAGTGGCACGATCTTGGCTCACTGCAACCTCCGTCTCCCGGGTTCAAGCAATTCTCCTGCCTCAGCCTCCCAAGTAGCTGGAACTACAGGCATGCACCACCATCCCTGGCTCATTTTTGTATATTTAGTAGAGATGGAGTTTTACCACATTGGCCAGGCTGGTCCCGAACTCCGGACTTCAGGTGATCTGCCCACCTCAGCCTTCCAAAATGCTGGGATTACAGACATGAGCCACCGCACCTGGCCACATGTGTCTTCTTATCCCATCCTCCTGCTGGGTCTTAGGTAATAGCTTTCTATGTCACTTGAATGGCATGCCAGTTCTTTAAAACAAGGATCATATCTTTGATGACCCCTAAAGTGCCTAGCTCCAAACGTGTCAACTAATGACTAACAATCATTAGAAAGAAGATATTAATTTCCTCTCCTGTAAAACAAGGAAGCACACTAAATCCTATGCTGTACTCTAGGAAGCCTGAAGAAGCTCTTCAGGGGCCTCCTTAAAGAAGAGGGTACAAGAGGGGGCCAGAAGGGCTGGACTCTGGCCCTGATCCCTATTTCAACCTGGAAAGCTCCCCCTCTACCAGTTCTTAAAACTGAGTTTCAAATAAGGACTGTATTAAAAAAAAAAAAAATCCTTCCACAGTTAAGGAAAAATAATAAGAGATTGGACTAGATAATCATTAGACCAGGAGAAGTCTTACCTGGGATTTCCGAATCCGAAGGTCTGCCGATGACCTGACCTCATCTTCTTCAATATGCTTCTCCATGCCTGAACAGGAGAGGAAGGTTATATTCACAGTCTATCTCCTCCTCCAAGAAATGTGCTGTTCAATAAAACTTCCTCACTCCTTCCACAAACCCCAGCCCATGGAGATGGAACAACAGGTAGGTGTCACCTCAAAAGGTCATCTCCCAGGTAAGCCACAGGACGTGCATTCCACAACCCTTACAACGACCAGATTTTGACATAACAATTAACGGCACGGGTTTTGGTCACCAAGAGACTTAGGCTTGAATCCTTGCCCTACACTTACTAGGTGTGATTTTGAAAAAGCCACTTAACCTCTCTTAATGGACCTGTTCTCTCATCTGTAAAACACAGTAACAGTCCCTCCCTCACAATACTAATGTGAAGATTAAGTCAGAAGACACATAAAGTGCCTAGCACAGTGGCAGGTGCACTATCACTGTTATTCCTGGAATCTGCTGCTAATGACCCCTCCAATTAAAATAGTTACTGCAATTTACTTGAGGGGAATAAATGGTAAACTGGGCTAAGCAATAATGCTTTCTCCTCTGATCAATAGCATGCACGCACCAAATACACTGGGCAAGAATGCAGGCTATCGCCACAGAACTAAGTAAATTTCCTGGGCCCTGGAAGAATTCAATCTATGACAGTAGCTTCATTGAACTATCCTCTCCCAAATGGGGAAAGTAAGGGTATGACAAGGTAGTATGCCTAGCCCACCAAGAAATATCTGTAGACTGAATGGTATCTCTTGCATCTATATATCTCTAAAATGACTATTCAAATGTTTGTAAGTAGCTGGACATTGTGGCTCATTCCTGGAATCCCAGCACTTTGGGAGGCCGAGGTAGGTGACTCACTTGAGGCCAGGAGTTTGAGACCAGCCTGGCCAACATGGCGAAACCTTGTCACTACTGAAAGTACAAAAATTATCCAACTGTGGTGGTGCATGCCTGTAATCCCAGCCACTTGGGAGACTGAGGCATGAGAATCACTTGAACCCAAGAGGCAGAGATTACAGTGAGCCAAAATTGTGCCACTGCCTTCCAGCCTGGGCAACAGAGCAACTCTTTTTCTTTCTTTCTTTTTTTTTTTTTTTTTTAAGTATGTAGTTTCCAGGGAAATAAGACCAATAAGAGAATAGTTGACGGGCTGGGCACAGTGACTTATGCCTGTAATCCCAGTATTTTGGGATGCCAAGGCAGGTGGATCACTTGAGGTCAGGAGTTTCAGACCAGCCTGGCCAACATGGTAAAACCCCATCTTTACTAAAAATACAAAAATTAGTTGGGCGTGGTGGTACATGCCTGTAATCCCAGCTACTTGGGAGGCTAAGGCAGGACAATCGCTTGAACCCAGAAGGTGGAGGTGGCAGTGAGCCGAGATTATGCCACTGCATTCCAGCCTGGGGCACAGAGTGAGACTCTCGCTCTCTCAAAAAAAAAAAAAGAAAGGTTGAAAGGCTAAGTTTAAGAACCAGGACCAAGTCACACAACTACTCAGCAGCTAGAAGCACATTTTTATTCTCATCTTCTAGCTTCAATTTTGGACTCTTTCAAGTACAGTGAGGATTTAAGAAAAGGTAACTTTCTGGGGCTACAATGGATCATTGCAGGGACAGAGCCCAAACTACAAGCAAAGATGGGCCAAGTGGTGTCACTTCCAACAAGAGTAGTTTCAGTTCGGAAAGCTGGACACTGAGTGAGCTGGGGTCTCACTCTGTCACCCAGGCTGGAGTGCAATGGCACGATCTCAGCTCACTGAGATTGGGTTCAAGTGATTCTCCTGCCTCAGCCTCCCAAGTAGCTGGGATTACAGGTGCGCGAGCTGAGACAGGTGGTGGTGGGGACTGCCTTGTTCCCTTTGTTCCCTTCTTACTCTTCAGTTTGTTGCGGACGTTGTTGGCCCTCTTCTTAATCTCAGTCGTGAGCTGCTCTAGGTCATCCTTGGTTTCTGGGTAAATAAAGGCAGGCAGAATCCATTAGAAAGGACAGGGCTGATTTTTTTGTCAGCTACAGCAATCATAACCAGAGGAGGGGAGCTTTCTCAGGCATCCACTGCCCAGAACGGTATTTATCCCAGTGCACTCCCCAGAATCTGTCATTAGAATCACAGACTGCTTATTTTTTAAAAGGCATTTTCCAGGCACCCGATCCCAGTACACAGAATAAAAACACCCAGAGTTGGAACCACAAAATCAGCCCTTTCAACCCTCCCAGGTAATCCTGCAACACATAATATTGTGAGAAATTTGCTTTTAGAGGGAAGAACGTACCATGGGGGCTTCAGTTGAGAAGGTTCTAGGGAGCTTATGGGGAAAAGAGATTTCAACCAAGGCTAATCAACTTAAAATGAGGCAAATACTTATGACATACCTACTACACACCCAGAGCAATCCTAGGTTGTGTGGAGCAAACTAAGTGTTAGCTAGAACCATTCATTCAAAGGCCATCCTTCAGCCCCTACTACAACTTTGGAACAGAGCTAGAAACTATGGAATCAGAAAGAAGATCTAGACATTTCCTGCAAGGTGTTTAGAGTCTAGTGGAGGACAAGGGAGAAATAAGTCAGCAGCTCTAACATGCAGCGTGGAGTAAAGTATGAGTTCTGGTCAAGGTGTGCACAGCATGGAGGGACCTGGAAAAGCTTCTAAAGACAGAGGTGAGCAGGACTGAGTCTCAAGAACTGTGAGTCAGCCAGGTAGAGAAAGAGACTAAGAGCAGGAATCTCACGAGAAGAAACCATAAATAAAGGGTATGAGTGAATAGGAAATGTCTGGGGAACAGCCAGAGTTGGTCTGAATGAAGCGTGGAGAGCAGGAGGAGGATGGCAGGAGACAGGCTGGCTGGGAGGACAGGAATGTGACAAAGACAATTCCCACATGCTCTGCTAAAGTGTTCCCACTTCAGTCTTTAGGTAAATAGGGCCCACGGGAAAAATCAAAGAGCGGAATGACAGTGTGTCAGGTTTGTTCCCTGTTCTTAGGAACTGAAAATATAGCCCTAAACCAGCCGTGTCCAGCCCTTGGAATGCATGGACTTTTTTTTATCTGTGGTGGCAGATATCAGGAAAATTATGTACAAACCTTTCCTTTAGCTCATCAGCTACAGTTAGTGTGTTTTATGTATGGCCCAAGACAATTCTTCCAATATGGCCCAGGGAAGGCAAAAGGTTGGACACTCATGCAAACAGTTAGGGGAGGAAAGTTTGCCTTGGTGGTGGTAACAAACAAAAGTTGAGGGATGGAAGGGATTTCTGTGAACTTGAACCATTTTGGAACACCTTATAAAAAAAATGGACTTGCTCTAGCAAGGTTTGGAAAGGGAACTGGGAAAAGCATTTCAGGCTGGGGAAATAGTACAAGCAGAGTCTCAGAGGCAGGACAGGGTACGGGGTGTGTGAGCAGCAGTGAGAGTCGTGGCTAGTCAGGAGAGGGACTAGCTGGGAAATAGGAAAGTCTCGCTAAATGGTTCGAGTGGGATCATGAAGAGGAAACCCTGACTGTGGTCAGGCAGTAGGAGCTCAGGTAAGATAAAGGAGAGGGAAATGATATAATATGGACACTAGTGCCCTGTAACTTGTACACTCCCCTGCTGCTCACGAGGGCAAGAAAACAAGGCTGGCTCAGCCACAATGAAAGGGTGATTGTTGGGTGACTCAGTTCTAAGTCAACACTCACTTGGCTCTGGAATCGGTGCAGAGAGAATGATACTGTAGAGTTTCTTAGCCTCCTCCACATGTTCTGAGATCTTGTCAATGTTAAGCCGAGTTTCCTCAATCTATAATCAGAAATACAATAACCTTCATCATCAAAGAGGAAGTATAAGTCCATGGTTGAGGTTAATGCTTGGCAGAGCTGCTGGTGAAAGCTGCCCATCTTCTGGGTTTGTGAAAGAAGACGATGACTTAAAGTCCTCAGCTGCCCAGTGAGTACCCTTTCCATGGTCAGATAAAGTCACCACAGCAGGACAGTCGTTAAAAATCCATACTTGTCGCTCCCTGAGAGTAATACATTCGCCCACTTTGGATGGAAGGATTCAGGCCAAAGCCAACAAGAGCTAGAAAAACCCATGAAGATGTGGCACATATACACCATGGAATACTATGCAGCCATAAAAAACAATGAGTTCACGGCCTTTGTAGGGACATGGATGAAACTGGAAGCCATCATTCTCAGCAAACTGACACAAGAACAGAAAATCAAACACCGCATGTTCTCACTCATAGGTGGGTGTTGAACAATGAGAATACATGGACACAGGGAGGGGAGCATCACGCACTCTGGTCTGTCAGGAGTAAATAGGGGAGGTACAGCGCGGGGTGGGGAGTTGGGGAGACATAGCATGGGGAGAAATGCCAGATACAGGTGATGGGGAGGAAGGCAGCAAATCACACTGCCATGTGTGTACCTATGCAACAATCTTGCATGATCTTCACATGTACCCCAAAACCTAAAATACAATTAAAAAA